TCTGTGTTTGCTGTTTGGACAAAAGACACTTTGAGAAATATAAATAAAATGAAAGAAAAAATTGACAAACATGAAGTCAAAGAAACATATTGCAAATATGGTTTCACTTTCACTTTTAGGAAACCTAACTAAATATTAGTAAGTATGGTGAAGTAATGGATAGCGGCTTGGATTGAGGTATCCTAGAGTCGAGTTCAAATTCCAGTCAAATCCATTACATTCGTTTATGTGCTAATACCCTTGGGAAAGGTATGAATCCTCTTCTTCTCCCCCCCAGCCATGGGTAAATAGTAGGACAGACTGGGTTCTATAGCCTTGGATGGCAACTGATCTACTGCAGAAAGTAATGGCAACCTGCTGCGAGGAAAAAAAGTCTGCCTCACCTAAGTGTATATGACGCATGGCACATAACTGACTGAATTAAATATTAAAGAAGAATTTAATGAGGCCTAGAGATTTTCAATCAATGAGAATAACATGAAAGTTAAAAAAAATCATGACATTTTATCCCAAATAATAGACTATTTTATTTTGTGGAAACTTTGAAACTCCCTTATGAGGATATGATGAAATCAATGATACAGTAAATTCAGGGCTATTTAGAGGATTCATAAATTAGGTCCCGATTTGAAGAATCACTTAGAACATTCAGAATAAGATACTTGATTGCCAGCTACCAATATACCATGAAGAGGTAAGGACAGACATTAGGGAATCTTCATTTGTAGATGTCATGGCTGATGATACAACAGATGTTTTGGAACACACTCAAATGGTCATTGTTCTATGGTACATGTTGAATGAAGAAATATTTGAGCATTTTTTGGAGATTCTTTATTCCAAAAAATCAAACTGCACATTGTATATCAAAAAGTATTCTCAAACAATCCTTATAGGAAATGGACAAAAACTGATGGCTAAGACATTTGATGGTGCAAATGTGATGAAAGGCAAAAAAGTAGGAATTCAAGCAAAACTAAAAGCTGTTTACAGTAGTGCATGTTTCATTCACTGTTATACATATGAACTTGATAATGAGAGGTGCAGCAAGTATTACATGAAATGCAAGAATATTTTTCTCTGGAATTTTGGCTGTTCCAACATTCTTAAGATCACCACAACGTATGTCTATTCCCAAGAAGCATATGGACGTCAGCATTACACATCCATCCTCTTCAACATGGAACTTTAACATATGGACTGTGAACGCATCATGAAATTTTTAATCTTTAAAAAGCTACCTTACTGAAATTGTCAACATCAAATGCAGGTAAAATCATTGCAGAATTAACAGAAATTTTACAATACCTGAATGATGATGATAATTTCATGTTTTTCATCATATTATGCCTCATATTAAAGTAATTTATGACCAAATCCAATCTTGAGAAATTAGTTTCTTTAAAGCCAATGAATATATAATAGATTTCAAAACTGATATTGTAGAAATAAGAAACTCTAAGTACTGTAGGAATCTTTCAAAGACACTCAGAAAATTAACCTTTTTGCTGAATGTAAAGCAGGAAGAATGCATTTCATTTTTAAATGAATGTATCAAGCTTGAACTGTAACAATTTATAAGTAAAAATAATTTCATCGTTTAGGATTTTAGCAAGTTTATATATAAATTTTCTTTTTATCTTTCGTTTTACACAGTATTAAAACAATGTCTGAAATATCTTCTGAAGCAACAGCCTCACTAATTTTAGCCACAAGACTTCAGTTTATGACATCAACTATACACTTTCATTCACTAATAGAATAAGTTCAACCAATTCAATTTCCTTATTTTTACAGGGACTATTGTAAAACATTCCTTAAAATTAAGCACACTCTTTCAGAGATTCTCCTTGAACATTCTCTGTACTGAAAGTTCCCAATAGAATAAATTTTGTTAAGAAAAATCCCATTTTATTCATTTTTTTGTTTGTTTTTTTTTTCAACCAATTTGTAATTTTTGTTCATCAATGCCTGACATTTTCTCAACCTTAAAGGCTACTCTGAAAACAAGAAGTCCTAAAATATTTTGCCTTCATGGTTTTGGTTGATACCTTTTGTTTGTATTCAGAAACTATGATTCTCAGTGATTTACCATTCCCACTGTATCTTATTACATTTTTTTTTTTTTTTTGTTTTTCAGTAAAATTAAATCTGATCTTTTGGATAATCTATTTGAATATCAAATCGTATTTTGCCATTTTTATTTTCTGTGATGGTTTCTTGCATGCTTCCAAAAGAATTACTTTTTCCATATGATTAGCTTTTTGTATTTCGGTTGGTTAAATTTTCTGTACTAATTCACAATGTCATTGGTAGTCTTTTCTCTCTCTTCACAAACTGTTTCTGCCATTTAATTTTTTTTTATTTTTTTACATTTTGCTTTTACTTAATTTTCTAAATCACAATTCTCCACAACTTTTCTTTTATATCTGAAAATAGAGTATTTTCATAAGTGTCTTGGAAACCATCAAATGGTTTCCCACTGCTTTTTCCACAAGCAATTTCTTTAACCCCCCCCCTTCCCTGGTAATTTCATTGCAGACATCGAGAGATCATTTTGCCTGCATTTTCCTTTATCTGTCTTGTAGATTCTTCATTGAGTTGTTTTCTTCTTTTTGGATTTTGAGGATTTCTTTCATGGCTTGTTTTAAATTGGATCCCGTGTTTATTTTTGTATTCACACAGTTTGCTAAACTGATAAATATTTTTGCTCCTTTTTTTTTATGTAAGACTTGGCCATTCATCTCTTGAGGTCAAAACTTTGTCTATGGTAATTAATTTCTTCTTCAATATTTTTCCTGCAATTTCATTTCTGTCTTTTAAATTCTTCATAGAGTTAATTATTTTTGTCTTTCTGGATTTTGAGGATTTCTAATATTCCTTGTTTCTCATCCTTTTGATTCATCTAACTTTTCTTTTTAAATTGTTTTCCCTATTCATTTCATTTTCATATTCTGGCAATGTGCTAAATTGATGAAAACTTTTTTCCTTTTATATAATAATTTTGATATCATCTCTGTATGACAAAACTTTGTCTATAGTAATCAATTTCTTCAACTGATTTAACCAAGTATGAGAATGGTCCCAAATAACTCCTATAAGTACTGCCCAAGTATTTATATACTGCATCAATCTTATGCTGCAGAATTTCTGCCACTAAAATCTTTCTTAGTGCCTGAAATTGGACTTTATTTTCCTTCTTTTATCAATATTTTCTAAACTCATGTTTGGTACAAGACCACAGGGAACACTGGCAGCATTAATGCTACGACTGTAATGAAAGCTTTTTTTTTTCTTTTGCTAATTATTCTCCCAACACAGTGCATAAATATATATTGTTAGCAATGTTTTTTATGCATTTTTACACTTTGATAATGTTTTGTATTTATTTGGTGGGGATCACTATTTACCCATAGCTGGGACCCTAACAGGTGCTACCACCATGGTTCTGGGTGGACCTGGGAACAACTGCAAAGTGCAGATTATGATGATATGTAGGAAAGATAAAGGTTGACTCAAGATCGAAGAGGTTAAGATTGTAGCCATAAAAAACACACTCTTCAGAATCTGTTTGAGTAGTACTAGGGCAGAAGCTGTTGAAATGGTACTTCTTCCTTACTAATGGAATGTGAAGGGAATGGGGATGATTTGCCTCCTTGTATGTGGCATAACAGGTTCTAACTTTGAAGGTCTGAACTGGTGGAACTAAAGAATGTAGCTCATCAGAACATTTGCCATGGAAATAGCAAAAGTGAGAGGTTTGAGACTTTTAAACTATATTCACTGGAAATGGGGGAACTCTGCTGCTCCAGCCCAGTTAGGGCAGCAAGACTCTCTTTGGTCTGATTTGGCTCTTGTCAAAATAGGACATGGTAAGTGTCAGGTACTTACTGCAGCAGTACAACAAACTGATCATTTTTCCAGAATTTTTAATAATGGATTGTATAGATGAGTTTTACTTGTGATCTAAGTGAAACTTGAGTCTTAATAGATTTTCAAAGCAAGGAGAGGCCTCCTTTATAGTAACACTGTTCATGATAGATAAAAATTCACCATCTCCTTGTTGATGATGAAATGTTACTATTTTGGTATTGGAGTTTTTTTTGTAGAAGGGAATATGGCTTGCTCCTACAAAACACAATTGTACATGTCTTGCATGCAAGTTACTTGGAAAAAAAACTTCCGAACCCCAGCCATTTGATAAAATGAGCATGAGTGAAGGAAGAGCAGAGGCTGATGAGTCAGGTGGTCATGCTTAGTGTGTGGAGTTTTGTGGTAATCTCACCAATTCTGATCATAAAATAACAGTACAACCAGTACTCTAAATGGATGTACATTTTTACAACAACATTGAATGTTACAGGCATAAGATTTTTGTAAACGTTTTCAAAATCATCTCACCCTCCCTATTGTTTCTTGTCTGGTTTTCACACATCTGCACATTGACTGAGGAAAACACTGGCGTTACGTAGCTCTCGACTGAGGGGAACACTGGCGTTACATAGCTCTCCCCATCCAACATCCATGCTGACTATTGGCTAATACCTGCCCAATATTGTTCACATGCAAATTGTCAGCACCACCAACTTTAAGTAGGATGTCTTCTCTCAACAGCCTATTGTGGAAGGCGGCTACTGATGCTAAAAGAGTTACTGAGAGTGAAAAAAAATGAAAAAACGTTAGTTAGGAGAAAAAACAATGAAAGGACTGGATTAAAAAAAAGACAGAAGATGGTGATTGACTTTACATTAAAATTTTTCAACATTATAGTCGCCAGGAAAGAATGATTTCAGAAGAGTTCCATGGTTGAGAAATGAGAAAGAAACTATAAGAAAAGAATTTAGATCTATTTCAGCAATAAAAGTATAAGACATAATGGCCAATCTTTATGAATGAATCTACAACTACAATAGTACCAAAAACAAAAGTTCATCAGAACAATTGGCATGGAAATAGTTTTAGAAGAGACAGGAAAGTTAAGTTATGGTGGTAATTCTATCATGTCCTTTTCTCCACCTTCTTTCTGCCTCCTCTTTTCTTTCTCGTCGTCATCGTCCCCTTTGCTTTCTCGTCGTCATCGTCCCCTTTGCTTTCTAAATTAAAACGTCATCTTTCTCTTTCCTTTTCGTTGGTTTTCGTCCTCCTCTTTCCCTTTCTCGTCGGCGTCGTCCTCCTCTTTCCTTTCTCGTCATCGTTAAGTCCTCCTCTTTCCTTTCTGAGGTCGTCGTCCTCCTCTTTTTCCTTTAAGGATCCTCCTCTTTCCTTTCCTCTCTTTCCCCCTTTCTTTAAGTCGTCGTCGTCCTCCTCTTTCCTTTCTCGTCGTCGTCGTCCTCCTCTTTCCTTTCTCGTCGTCGTCGTCCTCCTCTTTCCTTTCTCGTCGTCGTCGTCCTCCTCTTTCCTTTCTCGTCGTCCTCCTCCTTATTCTTAAATGGTCGTCCTCCTCTTTCCTTTCGTCGTCGTCCTCCTCTTTCCTTTTCGTCGTCGTCGTCCTCCTCTTTCCCTTTTCGTCGTCCTCGATTTTCCTCTTTCCTTTTCTTTCTGTTCGTCGTCGTCGTCCTCCTCTTTCCTTTCTCGTCGTCGTCGTCCTCTTTCCTTTCTCGTCGTCGTCGTCCTCTTTCCTTTCTCGTCGTCGTCCTCTTCTTCAAAAACCAAAAAGTTCATCAGAACAATTGTCATGGAAATATTTCTAGAAGAAACAGTAAAGTTAAGTTATGATGGTAGGAAAGTGAAGTTGTGATGCTGCATCAGAACCAATAGAATTGTTGATTATTCTTTGCATTTTGTCATGAATCTTGAGATATATAGCAGGAGCACCAGACCAACATCTACATAGTAAGCATGTTACATCTTCTTCATAGTGTCGTAATCTAATATCCCAAACTACTGACAGATGCTTTTCTTACTTAACCACTTAGAAACAGCTGACAAGATAGCTTTCAAGAAATTTCTTATTTCTGAATATTCTTAATCAGTAAATCAATTAGAATTTCAAGACAATTTGAAGAAATGACTGTCTTGAAGCAGCTGATAAGATATATATTTTTTTAGATATGATCACACACAAAAATAGGCTCTCCCTAAGCAGATAATCTCTCAATTGTTTTATCACCCATTAAGTTCAGTTTCTTATAACTACAGTTTTTCCTCTTGTGCCTCCGTCCTGAGTAAGACAATAAACTATATCTAACAGTAAGGCCTTTGATTAGAAGGTTTTGAAGAGGATAGAACCACTTCTTAATGGTTGTTGTTGCTAGGTCCACCCTGACTGGGTTGGTAGCACCTGTCATAGTCCCAGCTATGGGCAAAAAAATTAACCCCACAAAAGGGGTCAAAACACTATTAAAGTATAAAAATAGGTTTTAGTACCAGCAATAAATTTTTGGAAAAATTTTTACCAACAATACATTTTTGAAAAAAAAATATTATGACCAGCAATAAAAAATCTTGTCTGCATTAAATAACCTGTTGAGGTTGATATGCCGTAAAACAAATCAAACCTCTTGTGCCTAATGAATATTGCACACTTTGCAATCCTAAATTCCATTCTTATATATTTAGGGAACAGACACTCTGGTTTTTTGCATATCATGTAATATTAGGTACCTCCACGAGATCACTAAAAAAAGAGCATAGCATGATGAAAAAGACACCAAATTTGACAAAAACAAAATTTTATTGTCTAAATGTATGTTATTATTAAGAGGAAAGATCAAAGTATTTTGGGGGGTATTTTTTTACATTTTTTAACCATTCATATCATGTCCGAAATTTTCGTTAAAAATCTCGTTTTTTTTTTTTTTGAGTCGGCAAAATTGACAAATAATCGATCATGGCAACTGTTTTTTTCCATTTTATAAAAAAAACAATGGAAATCTCAGTTTGAAATTCTTTTAAAAATCAATTATCATTTTTTCAAAACTAATTTGAAGAAAATCAGAAATTACAATGTTTATTTAAAATATTTTTAACCAAGCTTAACTTAGCTTCGGCACTGAAAAGATGTAATTTGAAAATAAAACAAAGCAGGTCATAACCTTTTGCATCACTTGACAGGTGATGAATGACGTATTGAAGTATTACGTGAGGATAATTTGTTTTACAGAAGGAGAAAAGTGAAATTATTTAGATTTAAGTGAACAAATTATTTACCTCATTATTTTTAAGGAAAACTTTCAGTGCCCTAATTTTTTTTTGTTTTTTGTAGTTAGCTTTCACCTTTACATTTACGATGCTTTATGGAAAATATGTTATAAAGAAATTAAAATAAGACTGTTAAGAGTTAGATTAAATTTCATAAGAAAGGTATCTAATTAATTTATAGGTAACTTTCTTATGAAATTTTATCAGAAGTGTACATAAAATACTATAATTTTATGTACATTTACTACATTTTACTGTATTATTTGTATTTCCATTCATTTTATTATTAATTTTGATATTTCATTTATGGAAAAATGTCATAACTGAGATTAATATAAAAATAAGATCATATAAATTTCATAAGATGATACTGATACTTGTAGGTACCCTTCTCAGTTGAAATTGAAAAATTAAATTAACTTCTCCACACGTGTTTTGCAAAAGTAAAGGCTTTAACAGCGGAGAACAATGCTTAACTCAAATAATGCAACTTAATTGTATTCTAGTTGGTCTGCCGTACTTTATAATTACAACCTGATTATGAACACAAAATTACATTTCTTAATTAGTGTGGGTCTTCTGATTAGTCAAAACGATACAATTTACAACACTAAAAAAGATCTATCTCATAAGGACACTCATGAAAGTGGATGCGGCTTTTAACTAATTTTATAATATTTTAACTTAAATGTAAAAATCGTTTATAATTAAGAAATAACAAATAATTGTATTAAAAATTCATTTTTCATCAAAAAAAGTTTTTGCTTTCAGAAAATATTGTCCATATTCATAAAAACAACTAAAAGCAAATAAAAACATTTGACATTAAATAATATTTTTGTTTTAATGAGTTTTGTATGTTACAATTCAGAGCTGATTTTCAGTTGGGTGGGGGGTCCAATTAAAAACAAAAGAAAACATGATTTGCATTCCTCAGAGCCTTGTGCTTTTAACTATTGTAATTACTAAAGTGGACTCAATCGAATTTCTAGAGTTTTCATAAATTAGTTATTTGGGGGTAATAAATATAAAAAAAAATATTTCTGCCATGACTTTAATAAAAAAAATATGTATTTAAAATAATTTCGATCATCTGTGAGTAGTTTCTGAAAGTTTCATTAACATCCAACAATTATTTCTATTTTTGCAAGATTTTCCAAATTAATGTGTCATACAAAAAAAAAACGTGCTAAAAATTATTTTACTAGTTCCGGTGATACAAAGAGAAACAAGGTTTTTTAATCAAAATTTAGAATGTTCTAAAAAGAAGAAAAATTTTTTTAAAATAAACTTTGATCTTTCCTCTTAATAATAACATAAACATTTAGACGATAAAATTTTGTTTTCGTCAAGTTTGGCATCTTTTTCATCATGCTATGCTCTTTTTTTAGTGATCTCATGGAGGTACCCACGTAAGATCATCCATGTACCATTTCCTTTGATTTTTATGTGACCCTAGTTCCAGTAATTCTGATAGAAATAATCAAAAAATTTCAAATAATCCACAGAAATCATCTTTGGGAAGCCATTTAAAAAAAATAAGTTTAATATTTTTGAACACAGAAAAAAAAAATTCCAATCAATTGCTGTTCACTAGATTAAATTCAAAAACCTTCAAGTTTGTATTTCCTAAAAACATAAATACAAAACTTTGCAACAGGTCTGGGTCAGTCAACAAAAATACCAGCTTGTTTGCCCAAATCTACACTAAGCATCTCTTTACACAGGTAAGTGAAGCAACAAGAGAAGACGAACATTTGAAATTACTACAAAATGAATACACTGATGCTTTTGAGCTGCAAAATAATGTTTTGCATTTTGATAGAGCACCAAAACTGATTCTTTTCTTTGAATCCTCCTTCAGATACAAAAGATCTTATATCCTTTCCTCCTCCTTTTCTTTGCTTTCTCCCATTTTATTCTCTTCCTCCTCCTTTCTCCTGTTTTCTCCCGCTTCTCTGACTGTAGGTGATTCCACGGGAGAAGAGTGTCCATTTTTAAAGATTCCCTGTATTTCTTCCATGGCACTCTTTTATTCCACCAAGGTACCAAATGAAAGTATCTTGATAAGATGAGAATCTTTCATCTTTGGCAGGTGATCTATCCAGCATAGACATGTCTTTTGAGCATGTCTTCTTTGGCTTGTAGCACTAGCAGTTTTAAAAGACGTCAGCATTTGTAATGAATCCAATTAACTGTATACTGAGACTGATGAAAATGTACAAAAGGTGTAGGGTGATGACCCTGGAAAAGTAGCCAGGAATTGGTTCCATGAATGAGTGTGGACAGTCTGGTTGCTTTTTAGAGGCTTGACGCCACAAGCTGCATATTGGGGTTGCCAAAATCAAGCAGGAACAGAAATTTAACTTATTAGTAACAGATAATGAAAAATAGGACTCGGGAAGCATGAAAAATGTCTTCCAGAAACTGAGAAGTATTTATAGATAAGAAAATATCTTTAGAAATTCTACATAATTAATCTTTTCTATATCTAGACAATCTGCTGACAGATGAAGAGATTTGATGCAATACAGGTTATATGAAGAAAGGAATATCACAGGCAGAACATATTAGTAATAAGGAAGTTTGAAAATTGAAATAAGGACGCTTACAATCAGAGACAGCTGAAATTTCTGGGACACATAATGAGGAAAGAAGGCCTAGAGAATTTAACTTTTTCAGTTGGTTGTAAATATCAAAGGATATGATATATTCCAGTTAAATGTTTACAGCTTATAAATTCAAATGCACACAAATATATACAAGGATGGTGACTTAAAAGTTGTTGGACTTAAATTTTTACAGATTGCTTAATAATTTAAGAAAGAATTTGATACAAATCCATGATTCCTATTTCAGTGTTACTGTACTTAAGATTTGTTTACCGATTTTAAAAACAAAAACAAACTGCCATAAAAAAAAAAAACCTGTAAAAATCAATCATGCTTGAAGTGAGTCTCATTAGGTAGAAATGTTTTTGTAGTGAAAGTGGCTTTAGCTTAAACAAGCAGGCTTTGATGTGTGAAGTAATTTTTTTTTTTTTTTTTTTTTTTTACCCTTTTCCCTTTTGGATAGAGAGATAAATCTTGACACTGATCAGCACTGGAAGTTGATAAACAAAATTGAACTTTAAAAAGACAGTGAAAACAACATTTAAAACCTTGCCATCAATGCAGTTCTAGTAGTCTTTCTCTTTCTCCCCCTTCTCTCCTTCCACCTTTCTCTGCCTCTCTCTCTCCTTCCACCTTTTTCTGCCTCTCTCTCTCTCTTTCCGCCTTTCTCTGCCTCTCTCTCTCTCTCTCCTTCCGCCTTTCTCTGCCTCTCTCTCTCTCTCCTTCCACCTTTCTCTGCCTCTCTCTCTCTCTCCTTCCGCCTTTCTCTGCCTCTCTCTCTCTCTATCCTCCCGCCTCCTCCTTCCCATCTTACCATGCTAAAATGATTTCTTATTTAGATATATTACTGAATTAAGCAACATAAAATACATAATGGTTTCCAAACCATTTTGTTGAAGAAATAAGATTAGCTTTAAAGAAATATGCTCATTGAAATTGTTTTATTGTAACCTAATTATAAACAAGATAAAACATCTATTAAAATTATAATCCACCAACATATAAAAATTATTGATTTTAACTAATACCTCACATTTATGATTTATTATAAAACATTTAGAACATCTAATCTATTTCTTAGAAATACGTCATCACCTCAAAAATCTACCTTATTTAAAAATGTGTATGAATTATGTCCTTTGGGAGATTGTATCTCGAACACTAGCAATCAACAAGTGGCATTAAATTCTTACATTGGCCACACATGCACCACACTCTCTTCAAGGGACAAGATACTCAATTCCAGGGAAAGAATTGAATGAATGACGTCAATATGATCCATGGTGCTTTCATAATACTCCAAAATATTGTACGAAGCAAACAGGGGAAGAGTTTTCTTAATTATCAAGTCTCTGCCATCAGGTTGGTCCACAAAAGATGTTGTTAATGGCCAGATGGCTGAAGCCCATCAAATCAATGCAGGCATCTCTCAAGGTCCTCTCCATCTTATCCTTTTTCTGCTTTATATTAACAATTTGCCTAAGAACATTCTCAACTCATTAATAAATGTCTATGGAGCCAATAGCACATTTCATGGGTGTACTTCCAAAAATGTCGATGATCCTTCCAAAACCAGGTTGCTAACATTCCCCTTGAAACTCATGGATGGATGGTAGTACTCTTAATATGGCTCCTTGCTTTGAACATCTAAGAGCACACAAGCACACTGCAGACCTCAAGTGGAACACATCATCCATCAATAAAGAAGCTAGAAAAAAAAAAAATCATCAGTTGCTTCTACTACTCTAGGGAGTACCTGACTCCTCCTGCTATACTCTGTATTTACAAGAGCCAGATTAAACGAAAAAGGGAGTATTACTGCCATATTTGGACAAGAGCTGTCCAATTCTCACTTTTCAGCATTGACAGTTCAAAAGCATTTATTGATGATCTATTGACCGTCCTACAACTCTCTTCTCAAATATTACAAGCTTCTTGCTACTCTGCCTCCATTTCTATAGAAAATATTCTAACAAGCTACAGATAATACATAACAGTTCAGTACCCTTTTCTTTGTTTCTAATAAGAATTTCCTGTTTTTTAATATTTTGCTTAGCTTTTGGAAAACATCTTTTGCTATCCCGATGTACCTTTAGATTTGGCATCACATTATCTTCTTTTCAAAAAAACTTCCTAGATATTTAAATTTTTGTACTTGATTTTTGCCATCTCCAGTTTGTCAATTGCATGTTGGGCTTTTCTTTTTGCTAACAACCGTACATTCTGGCTTCTTAGAAATTATATTTAGTCCTTTCTTCTTGCTTTCCTTTACTACCTCCTGTCGGAGTTCCCTTATTTTCCTTTCACAATGCTCTTTGTCATCTGTATATCTACTCTTGCTGAAATTGTTGTTACCCATAATGAATCTCGGTAAGAATTCTAATGTTCTCAAGTAAAAAATGTTTCTAAAGAAGCCAACTGTATACATGCTTGATTAGTCACTTATGTTACTAAATTTAAATCTAATTGAGTAACTGCAGAATGGACATAAACAGAAAGTAGTAAAATGATGAAAATGCAAAACAACAGAATTGAAAAAAAGACTGTCAGAGAAGCAAAACATTCAAGTGAATGTTTCAGAAATCAAGTGAGATTGATGTCATCATGATTAGAAGCTTTAATAAAAATTAAGGCTGCTATATCAAATATTAATTTCAAATATCATTTTTTTCATTTTCTTTAATTTTCCCCTTTTTCCTTCCCCCTTTTTTAAATTTCCCCTTTTTTCCTTTCCCCTTTTTTCCTTTCCCCTTTTTTCCTTTCCCCTTTTTTCCTTTCCCCTTTTTTCCTTTCCCCTTTTTTTCCCCTTTTTCCTTTCCCCTTTTTTCCTTTCCCCTTTCTTAATTTTCCCATTTTTTAAATTTTCCCCTTCCCCCTTTTTAATTTTCCCGCTTGTTTAAATTTCCCCCTTTTTTAATTTTCCTCCTTTTTAAAATTTTCCGCTTTTTCCTTCCCCTTTTTAAAATTTTCCCCTTCCCCCTTTTTAAATTTTCCCCTTTTCCTTTCCCCCTTTTTTAAATTTTCCCCTTTTCCCTTCCCCCTTTTTTAAATTTTCCTTTTCCTCCCCCTTTTTTAAATTTTCCTTTTCCCTTCCCCCTTTTTTAAATTTTCCCCTTTTCCCTTCCCCTTTTTAAATTTTCCCCTTTTCCCTTCCCCTTTTTTAAATTTTCCCTTTTCCTTCCCCTTTTTAAATTTTCCTTTTCCTTCCCCTTTTTTAAATTTTTCCCTTTTCCTTCCCCTTTTTTAAATTTTTCCTTTTTCCTTCCACTTTTAAAAATTTTCCCTTTTTTTCACTTTAAAATTTTCCCCTTTTCTTTTTAAATTTTTCCCCTTTTTTCCTTTCCCCACTTCTTTAAATTTTCCCTTTTCCTTCCCCCTTTTTTAAATTTCTCCTTTTCCCTTCCCCTTTTTTAAATTTTCCTTTTTCCTTCCCCTTTTTTAAATTTCTCCTTTTCCCCTTCCCCCCTTTTTAAATTTTCCCCTTTTTCCTTCCCCTTTTTTCAAATTTTCCCCTTTTCAAATTTTCCCTTTTTCAAATTTTCCCCTTTTTCAAATTTTCCCTTTTTCCTTCCCCTTTTTAATTCCCCCCATTTTCCTTTCCCCCTTTTAAAATTTTCCCCTTTTTCCTTCCCACATTTTTCAAATTTTCTCCCTTATTTAATTTTCCCACTTTTTCCTTTCCCCCTTTTTAAAATTTCCCCTTTTTTCCCTTTTCCCTTTATTTTTTTCTCTATTTTTTTTCTTTATTTTTTTCCCTTCTTTTTTACTTTATTTTCAGACATATTCATATTTTTGGTTACAAACTTTCAACACTGTAAAATTTAATAATAAATATTTCCTAATGTTTGACTCGAAATAAATTCCTAGTGTGCATAGTTTAGAAAATAAATTTACAATAAAAATTTGCTAAAGGATTTTTGTTAGAACAAAAGATATGAAGTTGTCTTCACTGTATCTTAAAAAAAATGTTTCACTGAAATAGCAACTGCAGACATGAAGACATGCCTGAAGTTGGAGTGTTTGGACAGGTACAATTTCAGTTTGTGGTAACAGGCTGAGACATTGAGAACTTCACCTTTTTAGTGACCTTCTCTTCACCCCCCACCCAAGTAAGGCAAAAATGCCACTAGTACATGGGGGGGGGGGTTACAGAAAGTGAAAGAAACAAAAAACTGAGGAAAGGACAAAAGATGAACAGGATTCAAGAAGATAGATGGCAATTGATATTGTATTTAAATTTTTGAAAATTGTAGTTTTCAGGGAAAGCAAGTAAACAGAAGGGAGTTCCACAGGTGGGAAGTGCGAGGAAAGAAACTGTTGGAGTAGAAGTGGTGGTTGCATTTCAACAGTAAAAGGGTGGGACCTAGATGCCAATCTAGAAGCATGCTTCACTTCATGTCGTCGGGGCACCAGGGGGGAAAAAAGCAGTTGCCATAAAAATATTTGTAGAAAAGACAGGAGTCATGCTCTGTTGGTGAGAAAGTCATTGAAGTGGAGATGCCAGCTCAGGGTTAATTACGTTGCAGATCCTTCTTTGGATTTTGTCAAGAACTTAAAGACAGACAGCAAGAGAACTAAATATGGCAACAGTATTCAATGCATGGACAAATGGTAGATTTGTAAATGTGCAAGATAGACTTTGACGAAAAAACCTTCTGGCACAACACAATAAATCAACTTTCCTTGCAGTAGATGCAGCTATTGTTTCAATGTAGTTGTTCCATTTCAAATCAGATGAAAATGTGAGGCCAAGTAGATGCAGTGAGACGATCACCTGGAGTTGAGCATCAGTGATGCTGATGGCAGGCAGAGAAGTTTATATATGCATAAACAGATATACATATATATATTAGGAAAATTTATGACAAATTGGAAAGAATTTTTGTGTCATCCATATATATATATATGTATGACAAAGTGGAAAAAGTTTTTGTGTGACATGTTTCATTCTTTAGGACATTATTGGACTAAGTTTATTTATGTCAATGTGACTACACATGCGCATACATGAGAGACACTGGGAATTCATACAGTCAAGGTAGCAAAGACAAGAGCTCATGAGAATATTTATAGAAACGGCAGATGGAAGTCCAATCACATTCTCAGCACCATGATGCAAGATGCCTGGTCAGGACTCATTACAGACTTTGCTTTGGATTTTGTCAAGAATCTTCAGATATACAGCAGGTGCACCAGATATAGAAGCAGTATCCAATGCACGAACGAATGGTAGATTTATAAATGTGCAAGATGGATTCTGATGAGAAAAATTTTCTGGCATGGCGCAGTGAACTGACTTTCTTGAGCAGTAGATCAAGCAATTGATTCAATATAATTATTTCACTTGATGCCCGTGGAAAACGTGAGACCAACAAAGCTCAATAAGTTGCTCTCCTGAAATCTTAGCATCAGCCATGCTGGTGTAAGACAAGAAAAAGGTTAATTACATTGCAGATCCTTCTTTGGATTTTGTCAAGAACCTCGACATGAATAGCAGGAGCACCAAATAGGGCAGCAGTATTCAATGCATGGGTGAATGGTAGATTTGTAAATGTGCAAGATGGATTCTGGCAAGAAATTTTCTGGCATGACACGTTGACCCAACTTTCCTTGTAGGAGATGCAGATGTTGTCACTTCACTTCAAGTTAGTTTAAAATGTGAGGTTAAGAAGGTGTAGTGTGTTGCTATCCAGGAGTCTAGCATCAGCCATGTTAATAACAGGCAGAAAAGGTTCTCCAGGGTGGTTAAATGAAAGCAGTTTTGTTTTGGAAGTGTTAAAATTTGCAAGCCATTTCCTGCCCCAGTTAACCACTAACTGTAGGTCCT